CCTTATATCTAACGTAAAGTTCCCCTGTTTAAGTTTAAAGCCATTACCCCTTGTCCTACCACTAGAGTCCCTAACGAAGAGTCCCTCCCCAGCCTCCTTATAATTTATATCCCAAATTTTTTTAAGTATTTGATAGACCTTTTATCCCATTCTTAATTGTATTGATACTAATTTGGTGGAAGCCAAGGGAAGTCTGCATTGTTCTCCATTTGTGAAGTCAACCATTCCCCAGTAAGAGTGAATAGCCTAGTTAATTTAGGCCTACTGACAGCATATGTGCTTTGTGTGTTTACCTTTTGCAGATCCCTTTGATGTAATCCATGGACCACAGGTTGGAAACTCGTAGTTCACACTGCAACCAGTTCTGCTGCTGCAGGCTGCTTGCAACCGGTCTGTGGCAAGACTAAGTACAGGCTCCGATTAGCACAGTGAATTTGAATTGTCATTTTTCCAATTTTGACTCTTGCAAGAAAACCACTGATAATCCAAAATTGCATCAAGTCTGTGGCTGGTACAGTACAGGACTGTTTCCCTTGGCAGGGCTTTTCACCACACTGTGGCCTGCTAAACCAGTTTCTACACTGCCTGGTTTCCTGGAGGGATTGACTGGTGCCTAATATTTCACCTCTTCATCTTATTACAGGAATATTAAAAAGTAAAGCCACATCATTTTGCCAAGTCATACTGATACACCCTTTCAGTTAATGTTGAAAAAAGGACAACGGGTTTTTCTAAATACATGAAATAATATAGCTGTATCTCTTCTCTCTTTGTAAAGAGAAGAAAGTGTTACCAATATTTATCAGATGGTGGAGTGTGTAGATTTCATGCGTGACCTGAGCGACTTTCACTGCAAGTTTTCTAAGCCAATAATGATATTTGCAACATGCATTTTAATACAATTTCACAGTTGTTATTTCTTTCTCAATTGTAGGTAAAGACAGGGCATCAGGTCAATCACTGAAAACATCAAGAGATGCATCACCTTCAGGCTCCATAGCAGTACCCTCATCAAAGGTGAATTTTCTTTTCAAGTATTTCTTACCATGGTTTCAGGTTATTCACTGGTTTTGGATTTTTTTTCTCAGTTGGAAGGAGATACTGTATGCAGCTGTTAGGGAAAGGAGCATCGTGAATTGCTCTGCAGAGGATAGGTTTTCCTTATCTGACAGGAACGTGTTGATAATGCTTTCTGTCTAATGATGACACTGACAAACCTTTTTGTGCTATATTCACTGTCTCATTTTAGGAGAAAGGGACTTTTGTAGGTATTTAACATTGTCGTTTTCCAAAGTCTGGAATGTACTAAAAAAGGAATGACAAGGACAAAAATGGGAAAGTAGGTTTAGGAGCAACAAATGAATTGAACAAGGCTATACTTGCACTGAACTCCATCATTCAGTGATTCCTAAGCTGTTACTGGATTTGGAAACAATGTGGTGAAGTGTCTGTCTGACTGGGAAGATAATGTGAATAGCAGAATTGACTTGGAAGCAGGGCTGTTCAAGGATGTGGCAAGAATGATAGCCTTTACTTGGGAAGGGAGCCACATTGCAAGGTAGTTTGATAAATGCAATTTTATGTTCTGAATAATGCTGTTTAATTTCTCATCAAATCTGTGGGCTGAGCATCAACTACATGATAATGCTAATTACTTAAACGGACAGGCTAATGAACACTGTTGAACAATCAGCATTCAAGATTGTTGTGGCAGCAAAAACATTTTCAGATCACAGACTGCTTGCCTGTAAATTATATTTGAGGTTAAAATGAACACTTCCATTTTCTCTACATTGTTGAGTAATACTTTACTGAGAAATAAAGAAACAATGCATTATATTGCTCTACGCAAATAAGGTCCTATTAGAATCACAGAATCATTAGGGTTGGAAAGGACCTTTGGAGACCATCTAGTCCAACCTCAAAAGAAAGTGGCATTTGCTCTAAGTAGCATGGTGCCTGGTTCTTGAGGTCTTTTTAATAAAAACAGTGGAATGCTTAAACAAAACAAAAAAAATCAGAAGAAAGAAAGGTACTTTTTGTTGTGAGAAGATGAGACTGAAGAAAATAATTAGGTGGGGGAAAAAAATAGGCTTTAGTTGTGCTGTCATTCTAAGTACTTATCGCTTATGCAGCTCTTAGAACTGCTGTGCTAGGCATTAGCTAATTGCCAATGTCCTTAAGGGGGGAGGCAAACAATATATTTTCAGTGATGTAAATAAGGAAAGCAAGATAAAAGCTGTTACGCACAAGTTGCACTGATTTGGATTATAAAATAAACTTTATAATTAGTTCACCTATTTTGTTTACAGACTCAGCATACTGCAGCTTAATACCAAATCCTTGCTTAATACAAACCTCTGAGAACAAGGAGGTATTGCAAAATCTCTTGCGCTTATATTAATGTGCAGTGTGCGCTTGAATTGGGAAGTATTCTTTAAATGTTTTGCTTTCTTTGTCAGTCAAGTCTGATCTATACTGTATTGCGGGTTTTGCCAGTGCTTTGCGTATGTCTGCTGCAGTGGATATCCACTTGATGTAAGCTGCACAAAATGAAACTCTCTGTTTGATGGAAATCATTTCCCAGACAGGATAAATATTTACTGGGTATGCGTCAGCTGCAGAAATGGAAGTACTTCAGTGACCTTTTATTGCTTTTCTCTTGAAGTCCCCAAATCTGCCTGTAACGTACTGCCCTGTGTCAGGGGAAACTTTTGGGATGATGGCTGAATTACACTAATCAGTTCAGTTGTATTAGTGGTTCAGTTACACAAACAGAAGTAGTCTTGGCAAAACATGAACATCTCTAGGGCCAGAATCTTATAATCTTGAGAAATGAGTTACATACTTTACAGATTAAAGGAGATAACTTTCAATGCTCCAAGTTATTATTTAGCTTTGAAATACTTACAAAGGTATATGCCTCTGTAGCAATCTCTTCTCACTGTAGTAACTATATGCAAATCTGAGAAGATATTCTTATCTGTCTTATAATTAATTTTTTACATATTCATGCATGTGAATTAATACATGTTGGTGTTATCTGATCTTAACCACCTGTTTAATTCACTGTGGCATGAAATCTTTTGTGTTTTTCTTTAATAGCTGTCTGGACTGCAAGCCTTGAAGGCTGTATCCACCATAATTAGAGCAAAAGGCAGATGTGTGAGACATGGAAAGCTTCCCAGCAAAGATAGCAGAAAACTGACAGGTTTTTGCTGGTCTTATGTTATGCATAAGGTAACAGAAAAAGAAAAAAAGACACCTCTGCTTTGAGGTGGTTGGGTTTTAGGAGATATGCAGGTTGTTCATTTCTTACAAGTTTGCAGCTTAAGTAGCTGCAGACATTTTTCTCTGAGGAATATGTTGCTGTTGTTCAGTAGTTGTGTACCTGTGGAAATACCGTTACTTTATTACATAAAACATACTCAGGATTTTTTAATACGTATTTATTGACATGCATCCTATAGAATTAAATTTAGTGAGTTTCAATGAAACAGATTTTTTGCTGCATTCCAGCAGATACTAGAGTGGTTAGTTTCTGTTTATGGCTGTGGAAATATTGTAGGTCACGTGAGATTTTATTTATCTTCATTTCATGCAAAGCTGACTGTCAGTGGCAAAGATACTGGTCTTCTTTTATTTTTGTTAGTATTGGCCAGAGCCACATTTGAGGAAAGGGAGAGATACATAATAGAACCACAGTACAAGATTTTTCTGGCAGCTACAGATAAGTAAGGTTAAAGGTAAAAGGCATACTATGGGAAATAAGAATGTTTGGGGGGAAAAAAACCTTGGCAGCAGATAGATTCTGGTGAGAAGTTTCAAAATAATAGTGTAGTTCGGAAAGGTGTGCTGGGCTAATTATTCTATGAATTATATTATCCTTTTAAGAACCCTTTTCATTTCCCTGCACATGGAACTTTGTCACCTCCTGACTTCGCTGGTTATAATTCTGTAGTTTACCATAATAGAAAAGAGGGATTCCTATTTGAACATTGTGCTGTACTTCTCTTCTGGATTCGGATAAAGGTGATGTCCTTATGACACTGAATCCGGGAAAGATTCTGTGAATCATATACTTACGGCATACTACAGCACAAACAGATGTTTGGGTAATATTTTACTTGAGGTAAGTACAAAAGGTCTGAATTTGAAGCAGTCTTATTACAGTTCACAGGATTTGCTTCTGCTGCCCATTTATGTAATTTAGAATGAACTAATGATGAGAGGTGGGAGTGTTGGGGATTTTGAGTTGTTGTTTGGTTTTTTTTGTCCACCTGTTTGCTTTGATGTAACAGGCATTGGGTGGAAATGGGGACAACTTTTTTCAGGCAGTAGGATTTTTGTATCTTTTTTAGATATCCATTGTACTGTTTTAATACTGGAGTTGTATAGATTCTTGGATGGATGTTTGTTGAATCAAAGGGAATACTGACATAGTGGTAACAAGGTTTATAAATCTGGCTGTTCCTGAACTGGTTTTGGTACATGGGTGTTTGTCGTTGTCTGTTGCTCTGTTAGTAAAAGCCAAATTGTATTCTTAGAGAGAAGTCAATTTTTAAATATTATTTATAGGAATATTTCAGTCTGAAAACGTAGATTAAAAGGTTATAAAGCCATGACTGACTCTATTATAAATGTTCAGTGTTCCCACCAAACAAAAAATAATGAATTTTAATGGAAGCAGCTCTGATCATTTAAAGTATGTGTAAAATACTTTGTCTCTAATTAGCTCAGGTTTTACACCCTACACAGTATTTAACAGTTTAAATTAGTTGCAACCTTTCATGCCTGAAAACACATTGAATTATTAGATCCCTCCACACTTGTATCTGACTTCTTAGTGTCCATCTGATCCATGTCTCCTTAAACTCAATTGGTCTCAAATAATCTTTCTGCTATCTCTGTCTCATGAATTTAACAGAACTGATTCCAAAAGCATGAAGAAGTATGAAGCAAATGAAATAGCTTCAACTTCCTTATTTCCTATTTTAAAATGTTTGGGGGATCTGAATAACTGTTTATATTAGTTTGGAAGATGTTTTTCCATGTGTAAATATATTTCATATTAAACCTTGACTAAAATGTTTTTGTACAGGCCTCAGATAAGAGCAACAGACTATCGGAAAAGGAGCTTGCAGAAGCTGCAAGCAAGTGGGCAGCTGAAAAGTCAGAGAAGGCCGATGAAAGCAATGTACCTGAAATAGAGTATGATGTAAGACGGGATTATTAATTCATTTATTTTAAATTGTTACAATAGCCTCTTGTTTTTCTGTACTCTCCTGAAAGGCACATTTTGTAATTTACCCCTGAATTTGTCTGCGTATGCTATTAAATGTTCGTTGAAAGTGAGTGAGAGGGAGACTAAAGCCTTGTGATTTATTTATTTAAAAGTATACAAAAACAGAGCAGGTTTTGTTAGTATAATTTGAATTCACGTTGAGTTACAACTGGAAAAAATAAGGCTCCAGCTCTCCCAGGGTTCTCCAAGGAACTCTTGCACTAGTGTAAATCTGTATGCTTACTGAACTCCTTAAAATTAGCGACGGACTTCTGAGTCAAAATACAAGTGTACCTATGAAACATAAGACTAGAAGAGAACCTTTGGTATACTGAGTTCAGTTCCATGTCATGTCAGCCTGCCGTGTCATGTATTCTTTTTCAGAAAGCACTCCTCCTCTATATTAAAAATTAAGCTTTTGCTTTGGTACTGCAGTGAGTAGGTATTTTTTCCCCAGAACTTTCATCAGTAATCAGTATTAATGAATTACCAGTTAATACCCATCTGTTCTTGTCCCTCCTTGTCTTCTACACCTTTCTGTATTGAACTGCGATTATAGTCCTTTTCAGTCTTTGTTTTGTTATGCTGTTCTTGGATAGGATGTCGTGGATTCTGCTGTTAGTGGATGATGTATTTGTCATTTAAAACAAACCAAATGTCATGTAATGTCTTTTTGTAAGAGTCAGTTTTAATTCTGTGATCATTTCATCTTCATCTTTAACTTTGCTTCAGGCACTCTTACAAAATCAAAATGGTACCTACTTTACGAAGTTGCATGTCTTAAACTTCGTAATGAATGTGTTTGTATTTTATATTTGTTGGCAAATAATTTGAGGGAAAACAAAAGCATCTTGGGAAGCATCAGATTGCCTTCTTGTTTTTCACACTTGTGGAACTTAAGGCTAGATTAGAGAAATAAGCTCACTGGATCCATGTTCATATGAACTTTCAAGTCCTGTCCATTGGTGTCATAGCTAAGTGCACTAACAGCTTCTAGATACTGTACGGGAAGATCCAGTCGGATAAATAAACTGTTCATTTGCCTCCAGGACAAATAAATTTTTAAAAAAGGAAGGGTAGGGGGGAGGGAAGGTGAGGGGCTGGAGTGAGGAAAAAGAAGCAGCAAACTGTGCCAAACATGAATACCATATGGAGGAGAACATATGCGTGGACATTTCTGAGAGGTTCAGGAGAGTAACAGTGAGGAGAAATGTCACTCCCGTTCTTGATGAGGGGAAGGTAATGTAAGGGAGGAAGGAACAGAGTGGGCCATATGGAAAAGAGTTGTTTAAAGCTTCCTCTGTGCCTCAGAGAAAATTGCACTGGCAAAAGGATTCAAACTAAATTAAGTTTCAAAATGAAGCAGTTGCAGTTGGTTATGGCAGAGTCTGAGATGATTTATTGACTCAGAAAGTGTGCTGTAACGCTTATGAAGGAGTGATGTATCTCATTCTGAGTCCTAGAAGAAAGTATACTTCTCACCTGGATGAGTAGGCTGTCATGTATGAATTGCAACACTTTAACTTTTTCGAGTTTATCTTACATAGTTCTTAATAGTTGAAGTTTGCATTGCACTGAACTTTTTAGCAGCCTTTACTCAATTTCGGGCATTTCATGATTTGCTGCAATAACCAGATTTGGGATGCAATCTTAATGGTGTTTATATTGCTGCTCAGTTTTGAGCAGATGCTCATAGCACTGCATTAGCTATTTTTCTTTAGGTCTAACGCTTTTCTCTTTCATGTTAGTTTAAGTCTTAGGATTCTGCCCCTCTTTGTTTTGGAATAGCAGAAAGTATTTTTATTCATCTTTTTAAATTCTCAAATCTGATTTTAAAAAAAACAACCCTACTCTAGAATTCTCTTGCATAATACTGGATTTCAACAGGCTATGGTAATTTCTTCTCTTTTTTTATCTTCTATATAGACTCCTTGGAGTGGGAGTCTGTTTTGGGCAGGGATACTGTCTTAATTTCTGTTTCAGAGGGACGCTTACATAATTTTGGTATTTCAGTAAGATTTCCCATTTTACCAGGAATCCTGTAAGCACTTACTGGCTTTTCCTTTACAATAGGTATCTATGTCTGTTTGATATTAAACCTGTGGTCCTGAGTGCTGTGAGATTTATTTCTGACATTGTTTGGATTTCATTGATGCCTGTTTACCTTTGAGTTTTGTTGCTTTTATCCTTTCCCAGAGAGCTAATCCCACTTTGTGGATTTTTCTTGCTAGCTGGTACCTGTTCCTTCTCAGTGGAAGGGAAGGTGTCTTTGTGCAGTTAACACTGAGTCACAGGTTTTTTTTATGATGTCATGTTTTCTACATGTTTAAAATCCATATTTCTGTATATGTTAGATTGTAGCAATAATGCTTCAGTAATAGTCTTGATAAGCGAAGTCATCTCTAGCTGAATGACTGTATTTGGGTGTTTAGTTTTGCTCTTGCACTTTGAGTTTTTTATTTTGCTTGTATTTTTTTAAGGCTGGATCTTCAGCTCCATTATACAGCGAACAAACAGAGGAACCAGAAACAAATGTAATGGATAGTACAGAATTATATGAGGATGGTCAGCTTCTTGGTCGCTCAAAAGCAATTGCAACTAAGACGAAGGAGATCGAACAGGTGAGTGAGTCCTCTTGGCATTTTTTAACTGATACAGTACCTGTGTAACAGTTTGATCAGCTAGAAATATGTTGATTTGTTTTTTTCCTCCTTCTTGGAGCATAATATGAATGTAATCTGATTTCTTGAGATGCTGTGATGATAATATCTCCATCTATTTAATTCTGAAGCAGCATGGCATTTATCTGCATGTGGGAATTAGTGGTAGTTTTCTGTAACTTACGTGCAACACCTGCTGTTTTGCTAGCCAAGAAAATTACTTTTTTTGAATAATTGTTTTAAAATCATATATAATACAAATAATTTCAAATGTAATTTAAAAGTAAGGCTTTATGTGAGACCAGATTATCACAAATTACTTTTACACTTTAGTTTTCTTAAATATATACAGTTTTGGGTTGAATACTAGAAGCTGCCTGTTGGGTTTTGGGGATTTTTGGTTGGTCTTTTCTGTTGTGATTTTTTTGGGAGGAAGGTTTGTTTTGTTGGATTTTTGTGTTCCTTTTTTTAAAGCAGCTTTGGATCTCGATGCCTTTATCATTCTCTGAAGATTAAGAACCTTTAAATTTTGGTTTGACTACAGCGTTTTATATCTCAGTGAGGGAGGGATATGATCTTAAAAATCTGTGTTCTTTTCTCTTTTGTGTTGAGTGCTTGGGGATTGATTTAATAGAAACCAAGATTCCTGTTCCTCTTGTAACGTTGTGTTTTTGAGGAGGTTCAATGGAAATTTACTCATGCATTAGTCTTTAATATGTCACCTCACAGTAAGGAATTTAACTACAATTATCTTCAAGTTCACTTGTCATAAACAATCAAAGTGGGTTTTTTCCATATTTCTGTTACTTTAAATGGAGAGTTTGGAGATTTTTCTGACTTGATCTGCCTGACATACATGCAGTTATGCCCAAATCTGGAATTGCATTTAAAGTTTATAATTTGGGTGGGAGAAAGTGATGACTTCGTTCGAATTTGCTCTGATTTACAGTGTTTTCAGTGTATGCCTGGAGTGGATAGAAGGGAATTATAGATCATTTTTCCCCCTCATGATTATCTCCTAATAACATCTTCAAGAAAACAGGTCTCTGGTCTTGATTGAGATAAGCTTATTCTAGGTCTTCATTTTCCATCTTATGTCTAGTGGCCTTTGTTCTGTTGCCTGTGAGCCCACTTCCAGTGCTGTAGCACTGTTTTTCCTTTTTTCTTGACATTTGAAAAACAACTTTCTGCTCAATTTGGTGTTTTTTTTTTTTTTTTTTTTTCTATTTTTAATGTTGGCTTTGCATAGCCATATTCGTGGTAAGCATGGCTTTGCCTGTGTGCTGGGGCTGGCTGGATTGGAGTTAACCAGAGCATGCTGTAACTATGAGGGTCATGATGCAGTTTGTTTATCCTGATGTGTCTCATCACTGGGTTGTACATGGCCTAAATCAGCTCTGCCAGATGCATGAACTTAGGACTATTTAAATATGACAAACTGAAAAAAATAAAGATTAGGACCATATTTAAAATAAATAACAATTGTGATTATTTAGCCTGATGCTGATGAATCTGTGATTGGTTTGTTTCCCCTAGGTCCTAAGGAAAGGCTTATAGTGAAAACAGATGAAAACTTGGGCATAAAACCCAAATGTTGTTTTCAATATGATCTGATGTTATGTTTGGTAGAGTTTGCACTTATCTCTAAAGAAGTCTAGATTATGTTCTGTAAAACAATACTTCTAGGAACTTAGCTCATTTTAGGCTGTAAAGTTACTTCTGGTTTTCAGATAAATGCTTGAAAGTAACTGGTGCTTCAGCAATTAAAAAAAATCCAGAAAATTTATGATAGTTCTGAAAATGAGGATTATTTTCATAATTGTGAAATACTGTGGATTTTCCTACTGTATATGGAAGCAGTCTTTATGGAGAAATTTATACACTGTTCCGTTAACTTTCAGTTGTCAACATCTAAAAGTAAATCTAGTTTAATTCCGTGTGGGTTGACAAGGAATGAGAGAGGGAGCCAAGAGTGGAATGGGAACTAAATCTGAAGTCCTATGGTCCTAAGACATAGTCATATGATCATATGGCTCACAGAAGGTTCTTTGGATGAACTTCTCAATGTAATTTGTATTAGGTTTGCTGCTGTTTAACTGAAAGTATGTTTCTGACTTCTGCACAGTAAAATTAGTCTTTAACATGCAAATTTAAAATCACTAGTCATGCTGCATTGTTTATATAGATGTAACATTTAAATGAAAATGAACCGTAGGCTATAATACACTTTAGGAACAGAAAGACTGACTGATGAAATATAGAATACATTTTTATGAAAGTTTTTTCATAACATGTTTCTGATTATTTGTCTTGAGGACTCAAATAACAGCAGAAAAATCTTTTGTTCTATGGCCTTTTTTTTTATTCAGGTGTTTAAAATAGCTTCTGAATATGTAGTTTTAATGTATTCTTTCTGGTATGTAATTTTTTTGATTAATAAAATACTTACTGGAAAGAGTTGAGCTGAAAAAATGGTGAAGCTGTAATCCATCTGCAAAGCAAAATTCCCAAAAGATTGGTTTTCAGTCTTCACTGGACAGCTATTAAAGTGTTTAATATAACTAAGTGAGGGTGCCAGGCAGCATTTAAGAAAGTGAGGCTTGATTAGGAGGCTTTATCAATCAAACCTCTTCTGTATGTCTCCCGAGTTTTTCAGCTTTCTCTGAAAAACTTGAAAACACCAGATCTACTGATGTTTGCTTTTCAGTTCATACTTACTCTCATACACATTCCCAGGTATTCTTGCTGTTACAAACTCCAGATAAAGCCCTCTTTGCTTTGTCTTCTGCATAACCATGTCTTCAGCTCAACCAGGAAAAAGAACAAAATTTTCCAAATATGTACCTCATAGTATGGTACTATTTCAGGTAAAAACCTGTACTGACAGAACACGTACAGTGATGCAATGAGCAAATTCATTGCTGTACAGCAAAGAAATAGGCATCCTGATGCCCTGGGCAGGAGAGAGGACACCTTGTGGTGTATTCTGTTATTTTTCGTAAGAAAAAACAGCAAAAAAATCCCTTAAGCAATTGAATGAAATATTCATAGAGGTTGTTCTGTTTAAATAAGTCCATCTCTGTATCTTACTTATGGTTCATATCACTATTTGTAAAGTTCCCTCTCCCTTTCCCCCTAATACAATAACCAGTGGCCAAATTCAGAATTCTAAGTGGAATGTGATAGTGAATAATCCCTCTGGCTCATCAACAAAATATTTGTATGTTTTTTGTTTGATGGGAGACTTACTACAAGCATTCACTTGAAATCATGTAATCTGAAAAGAAATGAAAGTTCTTTGCTGACTGTGACAGGACAGATACTGTCAAACAAGTGTTAGTTGCTGTTTGCTGTTAGTGACTATCTTCTAAGAGCCTGCAGTTGCTTTGCAAGTATTAACTGAAGCTGACATAAAGAGAGGAGAAGTTGTGCTCATGGATAAAGGCTTGGGAAAATCCAGACACTGTTTGAACAGGTCCAAAATTATCTGCGTGACTCCCAAACGAGAAAAACTCAGAAGCATATGCTTAATTTGAAGTCTGCCAATATTACTTGGGAAGGAAGAACATGGTTGAACATGTATGGGAGCTTGCGAGCATTGCTGAATTGGGACCACAGATCCTGGAAGTCTCTGGTCTCATCTTTGAAATGACAGGCATAGTGACAGTATCATGGAAACATCTAGGTTGGATGGGACCTCACCTGGGCCAGTCTTCTCTTGAAACAGGGCCTTAGATCAGGTCATTCAGAGCTCTATCAAGTTGCGTCCTGAATATTTCCGGTGAGGGGGACTCCACTGTTTATCCGGACAGCCTATTTTCAGCGTTTCACTGCTCTGTCTCTGAGCTCAGCTGCCGCCACAGTCCTCCATGCTGTTCTCCAGAACATGCTTTCTTTCCTCCAAGGACACAGTATCTGCTCCATGCTCTTCTTGGCAGTTTCCTGTCTCCAATCTTGAACTGTGGAGTCCCAGCTCTTTGCTGTCATCTCCAACTTTTGGATGGCCTCACTTGCCTATTGAGACCAGATCCACCTGATCATACCTGCCCTCAGAGCATGGTTCAGTTCCTGGCACCCTCCGGCTGTGCCACTTTGTGGTTGGTAGAGCAGGATCTTTCCTGGCACTTCCACAAGGCAGGTACTGGGAAAAGTGATCCCTGCCATCCCAGTGCATCTTCTTTTCTATCTTTGTGCCTCTTTGCATTGAATGAAAATTTTGTAGCGTTAATGTGTGCCTCATGCTTTAATATATCCCCGGAAGTAGGGTCTAGATCCATGATGTGGCCTTTGATGTTCTATGTGTAAGCAATCAGAAACTTCAGAGAGTTTTAGAAAGAAAAATAGTGAGGTAATTAGCTTTCTGTTTGTTTGGGTTTCCTTATGACTTTGAACGTGCTCTTTCCTTTTTGTGTGTTGTCTGAATGTGGTGGGGTTGAAGCCCATTAAATAGGTGTTTAAGATCAGCCTCCGTACTTGAAAATAGTGTAGCAGAAACTTTGCATTGGCATGTCAAGGTCAATGAATGTCCATAGGTTGCTGATATAACAATTTCATGCACTTTTTTTATATTTTTGTGTTTAGTGTACATAAAATATTGTTTTGTAGTTGTTTAGTTTCTGATTTTATATAGTTAAGGATCAGCTTATGCTTTGAGCATGTAATGTGCTGAAGTGTGGGTTTTTTCGGAAGTGATGACAAATACGTCCCTGGTGTTAAATTCACAATTAGAGCGATTCAGCATCCGTGTTACACAAAGGGCTATCTCTTTGTTGTTCCTTTACGAGTGTGAGTAGCAGGGATTCTTGAAATGTCTTATCTTGTCTAGACATCGAGTCTGCAACACTGTGTTAATTAGTCCATTATTATGTGTCCGGTTTCTTAAACGTTGCATATGCAAGTTGAAGTGACATGGCTTACCTCTGAAAATCTATTATTTTCTGAAGACAAATTTTACCAAATGA